GAGCCCCCCGCCGCCGCCGCCGCCGCCGCCTCGGGGTCCCCGCCGGCCCGGGGCGACCAGGAGGAGCGGGACGGCTCCCCGGAGAAGGGCAAGAGCTCGGGCCCCAGCGCCAGGAAAGGCAAGGGCCAGATCGAGAAGAGGAAGCTGCGGGAGAAGCGGCGCTCCACCGGCGTGGTCAACATCCCCGCCGCGGAGGTGAGCGGGCGGGCCGCGCCGGACCTGGGGGCGGCCGCCTTGTGAGCCGGAGCTCCCCGTCCCCGTCCCCGGGCCCAGGGGTCCCCCTCCGGCTCGTACTACTTCTCCTTTCGCCGAGTTAGGCGGGCAGAGGGTGATGGAGTTTTCCTCTGGACAAATGCTTCCTGGGAAAAGTTCCCCAAACCCAATAGGACACGTGCTTTTTAGGCTTCTTGGCGAAGGTCTCAGCCCCAGGGTCCTTCTTCAGAGTGGTGGGAAGACCACTCGTAGCTCCGGAACTTGTCCCCCTAGACTTGTTTATGCTTGATCAGTTAGAAAAATTGATCAGTGGTGATGACGACATACTGTAGCTTCCCACGTGACGGTCTGAAGTTATCAGATTGTTTATCTCCTCTTTTCTCTTAATAGTGGTTAGTAGCACCTGTGAAGAAAACGTGGCCTTAGCACTATCCAGGACAGCTTTATCTTTTTATCTTTCTTTGAACCCAAGATGGGTATATCCAAATGAGTATATGCACTATTTTATGTATAAACTAGCTTTTGTAGATGGCAGTCTCCCACACGCACACACACACACTCCGTCTCTTTCTGAGTGATGTTTAGGACAATAGGAACGCTGTAGCAACCCACAGTTCTTTTTGCTAAGATGATCGCCTATTTAAATATTTGGCTGTGTGTATTCTGGAAAACATTTGCGGTAGGGTTGGTTTTTTTTTTTTTTTTTGGTATTTTGAGGAATCTCAAAACATTTCTGCAGGCAGCAGCATCTTCCCATTAGAGTGACTGGTGAAACATTTTTCCTTAGCATATAGCCGCACCTTTCTCTACCTTCAACAAAACAAAACAATCCTAAACAAGTTTTGATTACCTTAATAGCAGCTCACCGGTTTGGGGAAGTAATTCAACAACCTTGTTTCACCCAAAGTAGTTGCATCTTTTTCTCATTGGCTCTTTAGGTTTTAATTTTTTTTTTTTTTTGCTTTTGACCTTTTAATTTATTCAACTTTGACACCCAGTAAGTAATTAATAAGAATTTACTAATTTTAATTGTGGTTTAAGTAAAAGCATTTGCAATAAGTTAGGGTGTGTATATCAAACATACCCAAGTTTTTAAGTCTTAACATGAGTTCCATACCTGGAAAATCAGTGTTTGTCTTTGAGGGGTATATTTTTACATGAATGTTTCAGAGAGATTTTTATCAGCCAGCAAAACTGTCCTCTGCGGTTTGCTACTTGCACAAAAGATCTGTTATTCATTAAATTGCTTTAAAAGGAATTCATAAGAGTGGTAATCAAATTTCTAGGATTTTTTTTTTTAGTTAAAAATAGGAAGGTTGAGGGAAAACTGAAGACACGGCTTTGGAAAAGCTACATTCCTGAACTTTATTTTTAAAAGGAGCTGATGGTCCAAATAAAAGAATTTGTCATTTTCAATCTTTTCCTCATTGTTCATCTGTCAGGGGTCTTATTTTGGGAAATATCTTGGCAGATGTTAAACTTCATTTTTTGTTTGGCTGCTTGTGCTAAAATTGTTGTTTCTCAAGTACCTTTTTTTGTTTCTGTTTTTTAACAAGGGTAATGTTTACTGGGGGAAATAAGTATGGCGTATTTTGTGAGATCCTAAGAAACATCCTTTGTTAATACTCCTGCTTTGGGTAAGGGAACATACTGCTGAGAATGTAGATGACTCCTCAGTACAATTGAGTCTAATACTCTGGAATGTTTTCCGTTTGGGTGTTGGCAACTCCTAAATTTAATCTTCCTTAAAAACAAACAACCCAGGGTACCATTTTTTTGTCTGTGGAATTTGACCCTTTTTTATTGAATAGGGAATTGAGGATTGCTTTCTTTTTGTGGTAACTTTGGCTCTATCGATTTCATGCTGTAGGACCCAACAAAACATGGTAATATTTTACCAGTGTGTAATTAACAGGCTTACTTCTTGAGTGCCTCCTCCCTGTATTTTCAGTTTTTTAAAAACAACTTAAGACTTTCAGATTACTTTAATAGTGGTAAAACATGTGACGCAAAATTTACAGGTGAACCATTTTCATATCTTTAGGTGGTTGCTTTTTTAGAATTGTGTGTCATTCACTTTTCTTAGTAGTTTCAACATTGTAATGCTAGTTGCTGTGGGGTTTATTGTGTAATACAACTTAGTGCTTCTGTTGTAAAAAGTCATATAGTATTTTACCAAGTTTTCAGGTATGAAAATATTATAAAAGCAGAAAATCACCAATCTGTCATCAAAAGTAGACTTGTATTATGTATAATGTTGAATAAGACTTATTTTCAGACAGTATTCCCAACCAAGTTTATATTAGTAGATTAGTATGTATTTTGTATGCAAAGAGCCTATTTTAGTGGTTGATATAACATTAAGTTGCTTCAAGAAATATTTATTAAACTTCATTGAGACTTTCATTAACTTATTTTACTAATTACGGAGTATTATAAAATTGTTATAAAGGTACCTGACAGCAGCTAAAGATATCAAAAGCAACTAGAAGATAGTTTTAGCAAGGAAGAAGGTCAGAAACTGAAAGTGTTGGATGGAAATGGAATACTGGGTATGTTTACTGTAATAAGAATTGGGGATATACAGATCCTCATTAGTGAGAGAAACTTTAGTTCTCATTTACTAAGAGATTTTTTTAAAAGCTTTTTTCTAAATTTTTACTTTTTCTATTTTTTTTGGCATAATAGCCCAAATTGGATAATTGGTGACATACTTCCTGCCAGTAATTTTTGTATATGTTTATTAGATCAAATGTTTATTACATGTCTGTGTTCAAGGCACTATCATAAGCACTGTGGAGGAAACAAGAAGAATAAGGCAGTGTATATTCTCAAGGAGCAAGACTGTGATCTAGGAAGGAGAATAAGGCAAAATTACGTGAGAAAACTTAAGTACTGAGTTAACAGTTTAAAAGTTATCTTAATGCAGTGTAGCTAATTGTTTATTAGAAACATTGTGTGTTTAAAGGGCAGAGGTGATTGGGCTGAGAGAAGCTGTTGAGGATGAGCATCTTGAGCTGACACTTATATTTCTGTACCTATGTATTTATATATATATTCACACGTACGTGTATACATACCTGTTTGTATAGTGTTTTAAATGTCAGAGTGCAGTGGTTCTTACTGTGGCAGCACATTAATATCATGTGAGGATCTTAAAAACATGCTCCTTCATGCTGATTACTTGCCCTCTGCCTGCTTGACCCCTTTCTGATTTAATGGGTCTGGGGTGGATCCCAGGCGTTAGTATTTTGATAAGCTCCCCATGTGATTCTAATGCAAGTCAGGGTTAAGAACTACTGAGCTGTGGTCTGGAGATACAGAAATGAATAGGACACGGGCCTTGCCCACAAGGGGCTTTCAAGTAATATAAGTAAACGTGGTATGTATGGTGTTAAATACAGTGTATTTCCTGAGCAGGATACCTAGCTCAAGGAGGAAAGGGATGGTTGAGGAAGGCTTCCTTTGACAGTTAGAGGCCTGTTTTCAGAGTGCTTGTGAAGTTATTGCCATTGAGTAGGTTTGCATGAAAGGATTAACAGAGATGGTTACCGTAGGAAATATAATCTTTCAATAGGTAGATGTCAAATGACACTGAAGTTTTGATTTAAATATAAAAGTTAACACATATTGAAGCTTACTATTTTCATAGTGGTTGGCTAAAGTGCTTTATGCAAAGCTGTTTTAATTAATGCTCTCAGCAATCCTGTGTGGTGGTTACGGTTACTCTTTATCCCCATTTCCAGAGGAGAAAATGGAGGCTTAGGGAGTGTGAGTGACTCAAGATCACACGGAAAGTGAATAATTGGTAGAGCAATATTTTTAACGTTTTTGTGTTTTATTGTGTATTTCTGCATCTAAGGAGAGGGGAGTTTTTAAGAATTAACCTACTTTGCATTATTTAGTTTATTTCCCTAGATTTTTTTCCCCTAACTTTTTATTAGAGGTTATCTTAAATAGTTTAAACATCTGAATAGGGAAAACAGTTGAAGGTATGGAATTGAATAGAAATTAAGATCAAATTTATAGGCTCGGAGATTGCTGCTGACCCTCTCGTCTATAGTTTGCTTGGCAAAATTTTGAGAACCAGGCCATCAAAATATAAATCTGTTTTTGGCTATCAGTCAAAAAATGTGGATCTTTGGTTTTACTGAAGTGATGTGTTGTTTTTCTGTCACAATGGGTTATAACAAACATAGTTTGAAGGAGTATTTAATATATAAAAAGCACTTTTAAGTGAACACAATTTGTCATAATTATTCAGCATATTTATTGAACATTATATAGGACAAGTTCCACTTAGTGAATCTTATAAATCCAGGTAGATTAAGAAATGCCTTTTGGCATGCCCATTATATTCCAGACTGTCTACCTTTCTATGTGATGAGTCAGGAGAGGAGCTAACAGTGACTCAGAGTTGGAGAAAATTGGACTTGTGAATAGGGTAGATATAGCATAAGCACTGAGGCTGCTTAATAAGATATTAAGCCCAACTTTCCTAAATGTTTGAGCTCTTTGGTAAAGTAAATCGAAATTTTAGTATCAGGATTTTTAATGAGTTGTGTAAGCTGAGATGCTTTTTTCCATAAAAATAATAATTATGTAATTAAAGTAGATGACATGTATGGTGTGCTTATTAAGGGCCAGGCGCTATTCTAAGCACTTTACGTTGGTGCATTTAATTCTCACCACATCCCTATGAAAAAATAGGGCGGAGAGGGTAAGTTGCTTTCTTGCTTGAGGTCATGTATGTGGTAAGAAGCAGAGTAGACGTAGTTTGCCTTCAAAGCCTGGTGCTTATAACCATCTTGTTATATTTCAGTATATTATATACTATATATCTAGTTTAAGAAATACGAAGATTATTTTAGTAGTAAAATATAAGTGCTAATATATTACTAAAGAATTTGAAAATAACACCATTATAGAAGGCAGATGAAGTGGGACTTAGTGGAAAAATTTGAGAGCAAATAAACATATAA